TCTCCGATATTCAAGCTTGCTGATGATCCCACCACATGATTTAAGCAATGACTGCTTAATTTTCAAAGATAAACCATAAATTTAATTTGGGTACTATGAGAAACTTCTTCAAATTGACGATATATCCTTTTATTTTGTACTTAATTTTCGCTAGACAAGCTGTCCAAATAGGGTACATCGCCGGTCATGTATCTTTTTTTCAGGTAAAATATCAACTAAATCCAATATATATCTACTTACCAAATTCCTTTCCCCGACAGATACGCATTTCTACTACCGTAAAGTTAATCCAATTAAACAAAAAAATCATAAATCTACTTAATATTTAAAATGATTATTGGAAACTGAAAAAAATGTGTTGCTATTTTATGACGTGCTGTAATTTACTACAGTATAATTTGACAGGTGTGGAACCTAATTCCCCCTAAGGTCATTCAGTTCACTGATGAAGCGTAAAAAAATAGATGTCTATTTCGTCATTAGAATATTTGACAAGGGTGATTAACCAATCAGGGCAACATTGTGCATGATCAAAAGGTCTGTCGGCAAAGAGGCATACAAGGAGCAATAAAAATCGTCAGTACACAGTGTGACAGGAGCATTTGGTGCAAATTAGGAACAATTAAAAAGGACAATGCGCAGTATTAGACATAAGTAGTAAGAACCAGCAATTGTGTGAATAAATTATGCAAATTAGACTTTTGAGCAGCCAATAAAAATGATTTGCCTGCAGTTAATATTAGGCTACGATTACGATGCGCAGCATCATACGTTGACAGACATGTTAACAATTTACTTTTCAAAAGAGTTGCTTATATTTTTGAAATGTGTACATCAATTATAACATATATTCACACCTTTAAATTTGAAAGTCAGAATCAAACTGCAAAAATTTAATTATATGTACTATTAAGAACACGTTTTAGTAGGGTTTTTATAATGGAAGTGGCTAGCGTACGGGCCCGTACGGCTAGCCAAAAGTTTTAGCCGTACGTGAGTCACGTACGACTAGCAAGGACACGCTGTATTGGCTAGCCGTACGGCACTTTTCAAAATTTTATGGAAGTCGAAAATGCATATGTTATTTTATGACTTTAAGCGAGGATTTTAACCAAGAAACAGCATTAATTGTCTTTGGATGTTAACTTTTTAGAGATTAATCGCCTTGATCGCTATATATATCGATCTTTGTCATCGCAAGATGTCGAGAAAAAAAATAGCCTTTGCATGCATTTACACCAATTGAAATAGTTTACAAAATTTTGATAATAATCCTTTTTTGTTTCATTAAGTTTAATTTTCGACACCTTTTATATGAAAAAAAAAAACAACAAACACTGAAAATGATTGTTGTTAGGCTCTTGATAATTGCGACAATTACCGACGGTACTGTATAGAAGTTTGTCCATAAAGGAAAGTTTGCATGTTCCGTGAAAGGCATTCTAAAATTCTATTGTCAGTCCCTGGATAGGTTTTAATTAAGGCTGATTAATTGATTGACTGTGCTTTTATGTTTGATATTTATCTATTGTTTTGAAAATTATATAATTATTTTTGCATTTCACCGTTTTTTGTTGTTTTTTTTTTTTTCATTCAATGTTCTTTTTATTTATTTATTCCACTCCGATCATTTTTTATTCGATCCATGTGCTTAAAATTAACAAAAATGATTTAATAATTCATACAAATAAAACAACAAATGATAAGCATGAAAATCAACAATTTTATAACGTTCGACTTCCATATAATTTTGAAAAGTGCCGTACGGCTAGACAATACGTACAGTGCGTCCTGGCTAGTCGTTCGTAACTCACGGACGGCTAGAACTTTTGGCTAGCCGTACGTTTCTTTATTTTTTATTTTTTTTTTATGATATTGTTACGTATTTTGAACCATAAAAAATCTCCTCTACACCTCCTGTGAAAATTAAATTGTCTGGTCATTAATATTTCCTTACGGTTCAACTAGATTTATCATGAATCTTAAGATGTGGGGAAATGACATCACGCGCACCTGTTTTTATACGGCCAATACACAAACATGGCCGCGCTTACTGATTTGTAGAAATCGGTGATTTAGCGATTTAAATTTTGTTATCATTCGTTTAATATTATTATTTTGTGGCAGAAAATTTGCAGACTTATTATTTATAGTATTCTTTTTCTGAAATCATGTTTTTATTGTAACCTTGTCTTTCCCTTTAATAATATCAAATATTTTCTCATAATTACTATCTTTCAATTCACCAAATTTAAATATTTCAAGGTTTGTAGTATCAGCATATAACACACTTACAGCTTTATACAAATACAGGTACTGAAGTTGTTGATGTTTTGATGAATTTACATCATGCTGCTTCCAGGGCTGGGAATCAAAACTGCGTCGTATCCTACAAAATGTAAACAAACGCCGCCATCTTGGAGCGAAAAATGTATGTTTTTGTATATAACTCTTTTTGTTGGAAATGACTGAAAACCAGATATATGTATTAACACGTTACACTATTTTCCGCTTCGTTCGGTATATGCTGCTTGCACTACTATTTTGTAAAACAAAAGTTATAGCGAACTTGCAACTCGAAGCGGGGCAGAATTTTTGTGAAAATGTGTGGATACGACGCAGTTCATATTGCTTTATCTATCGTTTTTTCCTTCAAATCAATTATATACTCGTTTCCAGAGTTCACCATAAACTTCAAAACATAATTTTGCATCATTTACTAACCTTTCATTAAAAAGAGATGTTTATTTTCTAAGAAAAGAATGATTTTTACGAAATGATACGACGCAGTTGAAAATAAAATATGATACGACGCAGTTGTATTTTCATTGCAGGCTGCATAAATTATGTGCTAGGTATGCTAATAACGTCCAACAATATTTCTTGTTTACAACTTAAGTCTAAAGCAGAGGTCACTCATTGGTTCCATAAAAATGGAAATGTAATACAATTCTATTAAGGCTGCATTTTTGGTTGCATTGTAGTTCCTATCATAAGCATCTACAAATTCCGAAAAGTTGTATCAAATGCAATATACATTGAAAGACATGATCGCACACCCATATAACAACGTGTTCCAGTGTTGCATTAGCATGCTTCTTAAATTGTTTCCGTGAGTTCGAATTGGGAGTGATTACTATTTTTGATACAAAATTCAATATTCCAGTGTAACCTCTCCTGGACCCTGTATTAATCAGGAATGACTTTAAAAAAAAAAAGAAGAGAAAGAATTACAAATTTTGAAAAGGTCTCTCGCTATCGGGAGAGAGCTTTGCGCAAATTGCATGCCTACCTTTGTTACTTGTAATTAGCCATCATTTCCGTCAATTCCGTTATTACTTAAGTCTTTAACGTGCCGATTTTATTGTATTCATTTTCTTAATAATCGGTGAGAACAGATGAGCTTTATAATTTGAAACTGAACATTAAATTGTTAAAATTATAAATGGTTAAGCTACAATATATTTTTGCAAGTAGGATATGCGTTCTGTGTTCAGCGCCGCGGAACTTTACCGCTGATTTTGTCGTATTGCATTTCTTTATCGCCGATGAGAACAGGTCTACGGAATGTATTTTCTATATTTGCACTTAAGTATCATTCTTCTCCATTAAAAAACTTTAAATTTTCAAAATCGAGTTACATATGATACAACTACAAATTATTTTGTAAAGAAGGTGTTCGTTTTGAAAAGGTATTTTACGCTGTGCACCGATAAATTTGATACAGGTATAGGCAGATATGATCTTTCAACAGTATTGAAGAAGTTTTCACAATATTGAACAGAAAATTTAGGTCAGATAATTGCATCGAATTTTCAACACACTAAAGTGTGATTTTTATTTTGATAATGAATTGCCTGAAAACTTAAACAAAAGTTTTCAGAAAATGACTTCACAGAGGATTACCCCCTGTTTACAATGAAAATTTCTCTGCTAGTCTAACCGAAATAAGAAATTCAAATGTTATTCTCTTTATAATTAATTCAAATATTTATAATCTTAAAACTTCACGTCAGAAGTTAATAAAAAGCTGCTTATTAGTACAGCTGATGTTAACAGATTTTGTTGGAAAAAAAACCAACAAAAACAAATCAGACAGGTGTCTACCACCGAGGCCGAGCTGTTTATGTTTACTGAATTCAAATTACTTGAACTGGACTGCTATGAATTCGAAAACCTCCAGAGACTTTTATTCTTTCGTGTGGAAAACCTATCAAGCTAGTTTCAAAATGTCGATGGTTCACTGCAGGTGCAACATTTTGCCTGAAGTAATGCCCAAAAGCGCATCTGAGGTCCTCGCCCCTAGTAAAGCTAATGTGTAGAGTGAAAGTTTGAAAACAAACCACAAAAAGCAGTCATTATCCAGATCATGCAGAACCACAGTTAACTTAGAGCGTAGCTAGCCAAAATGAATTCAAGTCAATAGATTTCTACATTTGTTTTTGCGAAAAAAAATCGGGATAATATTGAACATAAAGGAAAATATAAGAACTTAGTTCATTTATTGTGATCAATTAGGTAACATGTTCATGTTTAACTGAAAAGTAGCTTCTGCAATGTAAACTTTCAAATGAAATGTTATACTAGTATTGGACATGACACAATGTATTCTAAATAATCAAAAGCAACAGAACATCGCTATACACCGCAAATTGTCTGGGTTTTTTTTATCTAGCGCAAGTGATTATTCCATGAAGTAGAAATATCTTGCCAAAATTACCCCTGTTAAAAAGACTGCCAAAAATACAACTGCGTCGTATCATATTTTATTTTTCAACTGCGTCGTATCATTTCGTAAATATCATTATTTTCTTAGAAAATAAACATCTCTTTTAAATGAAAGTTTAGTAAATGATGCAAAATTATATTTCGAAGTTTATGGTGAACTCTGAAACAAATATATAATTGATTTGAAGGAAAAATCGATAGATAAAGCAATATGAACTGCGTCGTATCCACACATTTTCACAAAAATTCTGCCCCGCTATGAGTTGCAAGTTCGCTATAACTTTTGTTTTACAAAATAGTTGTGCAAGCAACATATACCGAACGAAGCGGAAAATAGTGTAGCGTGTTAATACATATATCTGGTTTTCAGTCATTTCCAACAAAAAGAGTTATAAACAAAAACATACGTTTTTCGTTCCAAGATGGCGGCGTTTGTTTACATTTTGTAGGATACGACGCAGTTTTGATTCCCAGCCCTGTCTTCTCACACTCACATTTAACATAATAAAGATGTATTTCTTCAAGATGACAGGTTCCCTCAAGAAAATTACAAAATATAGTTGTATCATCATGACTCATTGTTATACCAAACATACTTATAGCTACAAGATTGATCATACTAGGTAGGTAACTAACAACTGTTTTACACACTGAGAAATACTTGTCAGTGTAAGAGACACTATCAAGAGACAGAGATTTTAATGTTAACGTATTAACTTAAATTGTCTCGGCAACACAATTGTTTATCTCATCAATACTCTGTGTACTATCACTTTGTGTACTTGATAACCTTTGTGATTCATATCCATACGATATTGCATTTTTTTCAAGATGACGAAACATTGGAAAATATTTTGTGATTTTAATATTTTTTGTGTTGATGTTATTTACATTAATAGACAGAACAGAGTCAGGAACAATTTGTTTCTGATCAATACTTGAACAAACAATATCACAATTTGACTGACCCCATCTATCAAAGACCAAATCTCCAATATAAAACACAAGATTATTTCCTCCAATACATGCTGCATTTTATTCTTCCATTGAATCAAACATAAGCTTTTGAACATCAGTAATAAAATGATGATCGTAATAAATGTCACTACTTATTGTTCTCCTGTATTCCTGAACACGAGAGTCTTCTTTCTGACACAGTATCATATATGTATTTTGAAATATGTGTTGCTAATTTAGGTTGTACACCACATAGCATAATGATAACATTTGACTGCTCTAATATGTCATTTACTGTTGAACAGTTCTGAAAAACCTCATTAACAAACTGAATGCACTTGCTTTGCAAATCAAACTTTTCTATTTGCGTACTATCTGACAACTTTATTCTTATCTTAAAATTGATACCAATATTCACTGCAGCCAGAAATTCTTGCATTGATTTGTAAATGAAAGAAAACAATGAGCTTTTAGGTTTTGATACAGATAAAGAAGGACATTTATCTTCTGTCGAAATTCTCAGTTTCAGACATGTTTCTTGCACATCTTGTGATATTTTCAAATCATCAAACACAGATTTGTCAAATGTAAAGGACTTATCCTTCGGATAATTGAACAATGTCTCATAAGGTAAGTGCGACACACCATATATAAGATGACTATTATTCTACATTTCTCTACATCTGTTAAATACTGAGGGAGTTCAACATTCTGAGAACTTTCGATACATTCTGCATTATTTCCTGAAGTTTTATAGATATTCTAGGTGAAATAAAGTTCTAACATAACAGTATAAATAGCATACCTTGAGGTTTCATCGAGTTGACCATCACACAATAGACAAATCAATTGCTGCAGCATAATTGGTACCTGTTTCAGGTCAACTAATGAGTGTACCTTAAGCTTTTGTTCACACTCACTTGGATCTTATGATCCATTTAATGCTTTTATTGTTTTCTTATTCATTTCTTTTTCATGTGTTTTATTAAACCCTTTTAATTTCAATAATTTATGAATCTCTCTATTACTTACTCTCAAACTGTGATAATCCATGGCCATGATGAAGTAACAATGGTGTATTTCTTTGTAATGTCACGTTCCAAAAGCCCTGCCTGGAACTCATTCCTAGTCTCACTGTCAAAAGACCATTCATCTAAACCATCAAGCAAAATAATTATCTTTTCAGAATCATTTTCCAGAAGTTTACTTAAATTTTTCATCTTATCATATCGCATTTCATGTATTTCTTGGACACTTCGGATCTTAACATTATGTCTAAGAGAAATATATAACATGAAATCAATTTTTTCATTTCCTTGACTCTTTCAAACTCATCATCTTCATTGTGTCCATTACTGTGTGCCATACACCAACAGTTGATCAAATATTTACAGAAACAACTCTTACCAGACCCTGCATCTCCAACAACATAAATAAATTTCTGTGGATCTCCGTGAAAATCTCTGTCATGGACTTTATTTCTTTTTCTTCAGACTCCCCTCTGTTCTTTTCTATCTTGTTTGTTATAGTGGGTCTTATATAAATGTCATTGAAGTTATAATGTTCCTCATCTGGTTGTAAAGGTATTGCTGATACTTTAAGTACATCACTGCGATAATGTTCTATTGATTGTGTATGACAAACTGAAATTTATTAAACAGTCCTTAAAATCAGAAATACTTACAAATAATCTTAATATAACAAGATCTCCTCACAACAAGATCTTACAAGGGAAAAATACATTTTAAGAGCCAATGGTGACCTTAACCTTGAGCTGGTAAGACAGTGGGCTTGAATCAGCACATTGCCTTATTCAGGTGATCAGTGCCAAATTTATAGAAAATCGTTGACAAGTGTAGAATTTATAAAGTAGAGACGAAAATGTTTGATATATGACTTTTGACTTTCAAGAGTTACATTGACTTTGAACTGGCACAGCTGTGGCATGGCTTTTCATGTTGCAGTAAACAATTATGCCAATTTAAAACAAGAGGGCCATGATGGCCCCGAAATCGCCCACCTGCATATAGGCCCCCCAGGGCAGGGCAAATTTTAATCCAGGGGCTTTTATTTGAACAAATTTGGTAGACACCCATTTGAATATGTTTCATGATAAATATCTTAGCCCTTAAGCCCTTAGAAGATTTTTAAGTTTTTACTATACACATATAGGGAAAAACAATGACCCCCCTCTTCTGGGCGGGCCAATTTTGTCCCCAGGGCTTTCATTTGAACAAACTAGGTAGACAGTCACTAGATGATAGTTCATGCTTAATATCTAAACTCTAGCTCTTTGGTTTTTTAAAAGAAGATTTTTTACGTTTTTACTATATACTTAAAAGGAAAAACATTGATCCCCGGGGCGGACAAATTTTAACCCAGGGCCCCTTATTTGAAGAAAAATGGTAAACACCCAATAGAAGATGTTTTATGCCTAATATCTTAGCTCTCGCTCTTACGGTTTTTAAAAAAATATCTTTTAAGTGTTTACTATTATTAATACCCAGCCATAAAAGCAGCCCCCCACTTCACAAGAGTCTCCTACTTTTAATATGCTTCTTCTGGACTTCCATAGAAGTTTTATAACTAGCACCTGTGCTTCGGCTGAAGTACTAGGGACTTTAAGTGTACTTGCTTCAACTGCAGCTGTACTTCATCTGAAGCCCCTTCCTGCTTCTAATGAGCTTGTGAATTTGTGAATGTATGCTTCAGTTGAAGCACAGGGCTTTTCAAGTGCTTCATTTTGATAGTATTATGTACTAGCGACTTATTTGCTCCTTCTCGGACTTTGACTGTTTGTTTGAAAGTTATTTTGATACAAAATGTACTTAAGTTGTGCTTTTGAAACTTAGCAATGCAGGACTTGTTTTAAGGGGGCTTCAAAAATGCTTATAAAACTTGTATTTTTTAGTTGTTCTCTGATATGATTATCAGCTTAAAATTTTTTTCATAAAGTCCATGAAATTGCATATATAAAAAAGAAAATAACTGAGTAAAATCAATATAAACATTTTACTTTGATAAAGATTTCACATTCTATAGATCATGGTGGTGAAACATATATTTATTAAATCCATCAATAAAATATCATTATTATACAAATGCAGAGCCAGTTTTGACATTAAAAAAACTTTCTAAAAAATAGTATTGCTCATAAAATATCTAAATATATTGTAATTGGTATCATCAGTATCTGCTTAACATAAAAAAGTATTTAAAAAAGAGAATATTTTTCTTCATGAATATTTACATAGTTCAAAGATGCTCAAAGACCTAAATTACATGACTGCAATATTTCTGCATCCATCTGTAAATCTGCCACTGTTTTCTTCCACTGCGAATATTCTTATCACAAACATATGTGATCCCTCAAGTGGAAGTCATGAACCCTTCCAACAGTTTTCAAAAAAGCCCATGTTGAGCTGACCTATCTGATACATGAGAATATGAGTGATAAAGTAAGTTTACAATACCCTTGCTCCATGTTACCTAATACCCAGAAAAAATCTTCATCCTCAGGTCATTTATACAGAAGTGTTTGAATGCTTGGATCTGCTTGCAAAGTTTATGTTATTATGAGTGCATGAGCTAGTGTAAAATAAATGTGATTATTGTTAATAAGTTGAAATGATTCTAACTATACAGGTTTACAAAAAAAATCTAAACTAAATTAACATTTATAATGGGGCATCAAATGTGTACTTAAAGTTCCAGTTAAAAATGGAGGCAAGCTGATAACCAATTCTATGGAATAAATTTGTGGTAAGTAATTTGAACTATGTTAATATTTGAAAGTCAATATACAATAAAATTAACTAGATGCAAAATGAACTGTTTTTTTAGATTTAGGTTTCCTTAAAAAAATAGACCAAATCCCAAACCAAAATTGTAAGCTTGCTACAAGATCGTATGAAGCATGCATGAAAGACGCTGAAACTAGCTTGCGCAAGCTTGCATTTGGAACCTAAACGAACTTAAATACGCTAGCTGCAAGCATGCAATTGCAAGCTTACTGCCTGCACAAGCTCACATTTATTTAATCTGCAAGCTTGCAGCTAGCTTAGTAGATTGCCGTACATTTGCAAGCTTGCATTTAGCGCAAGCTCGTATTCATTAACCTGCAGAGAGCTTATTAGATTACTGCACGCTTGCAAGCTTGCATTTGGAACCAAAACACGCTTACAAGCTCAGCTTTGTACGCTTGCAAGCTTAGCCTTGTTCGCAAACTAACTAGTTTGCAGATTTGCAAGATCGCCTATGTTAAACTAGTTCACAGCTGCAATCTTATTAAATCGCAGCTGCAATTTTGAGATAGGTAAACAATTAGTGACCCAAATATTAATTTCAGTATGAAATGCTCTGCCCAGAAATGGAACAGAATTACCACACAGATTCCGGCCGGATAACAGTAATCTGAACAATCTGGGTTGAATCTATGCACAGAATCTGGGCACGGAATCTGGGCTTATTCTAGGCATGGAATCTGGGCTAAATCTAGGTGCGGAATCTGGGCGAAATCATGCACCCTTTTCAGCCATTCCATTTTTCCTACTATGATATGGCGATGACGTAATGTGAGTAAATCCCCATGATTTCGCGAACGCTGCAAATTCTGCTGACGAAAATTGTGGTCCGTTATCACTCATGCATATATCAACAATTCCATATCGCGACATATGTGCACGAAGTTTTTGTATTACGGTATTTGATCGAGTAGCTGGCAAATAGTCAATTTCAAAGAATCGACTATAATAGTCAATTGTTATCAAGTTATTCTTACCATCATGAGTAAAATATGTGTGCCAATTTTCTGCCACGGTCTATCAGGAAACTCATGACTTATAAGCGGTTCATTTGCATTTGAATTACGATACGAGAGAAAATTTCTACACTGTAAAACAAATTCTGTGATTTGTTTAATCATGCCGGGCCAAAGAAATTTTCTTTCCCACGCTCAACCGTTTTGTTTACACAAAAATGCCTAGTGTGTATTAGACCTATAATTTCAGAGCGGAGTGATTTTGGGATAACAATTCTTTGACCTCGAAATATAAGACCATTTTCATAACTTAGTTCATCCCTATGGTTCCAGAACTCAAGTATATCTGATGGGCACCTTGATCTTTACTCTGATAGATTGTTTTAAAATGACCATTTGTTTATCACTGCTTGTTATTCTGAGACATTTTGTAATCTTTGATCAGGGAAGTGGAGCTGTTTACATACAGTGTGCACATGTGTGTCATGTCCTTGAACTACTTCTGACTGCGAATCTGATATACATTGTCGAGATAAGCAATCATTGACCGGAATGTGTTTGCCTGGAACATAGACAACAGTCTAGGTGGTGCGGCTGACAATGGCTTTTTGATTATAGCAGCGATTGGTTTGTGATATGAGTGTACAGTCATATGTCTCCCGTATGTGTATTGTTGAAAACGAGTACAACCATACAATAAGGCTAATAACTCTTTCTCTATCTGAGCATAACCCTTTTTAGTTTCAGTTAAACTTTTTGACGCATATGCAATCGGTCTGCCATTTTGTATGAGACACGTGCCTATTCCGTCCTACGAGCTGTCAGACTCTAATATGAGTGGTGCTTTCGGGTCATAATAACCTAACACAGGTGCTTCAGATATCATGTGTTTAACCTCTTTAAAGGCTCTATCATGTTGCTCTTCCCAGCAGAATTCGACATCTTTTCTCAAAAGGCTCCTGGGGGGAGCTGTCGCATCCGTGAAATTTGGCGCAAATTTTGCAAGGTAATTAACCATACCTAAAAATGTTTCTAACTTTGGCCTCGTATTTGGAGGACCTATTTCGCCTATAGCTTTGACCATGGACTGGTCTGGCTTAAGACCATCCTTGCTTATTACATGACCGAAAAATGGTACTTCTTGTACACCAACTTTGCATTTTTGACACCCTTTTCTCTTGCGCGCTCTAGCACGTGCTTTATATTCTTATCGTGTTCTTCCTTTATGCGACCGTATACAAGAATATCGTCGACTATTAATGTTTCGCCCGATAGTCCTTCCAGAATTTCGCTTATTTCCTGCATAAATAAGTCACCGGAAGCCGATATACCAAACGGAAGTCTAAGCCATCTGTACCTTCCGAACGGCGTGTTAAACGTAGTTAGCATTGACGACCGTTTGTCAAGCTGTTAGCTTCAATATTCATGCGTTATATCAAGAATACTGAACATTGATGCGCCGTTAAGTTTTGATGTTATATCTTCTAAAGAAGGCATGCGAAAATGCGGTCTACGAATTGCCTTATTTAATGCTCTAGGGTCAAGACATATTCGTAATGCCCCAGTTTCGGGCTTTTCTACAACGACAAGGGAATTAACCCAATAGGTAGGCTCATTGACTTTTGTGATAATCTTGCCTTTAATCATTCTGTAAAGCTCTGAATTTACACGTGCTCTCAAGGCGTCGGGTACTCTACGTGGTGGGTAAATAGTCGGTACTGCATTTTCCTTTAAATGCAAACTGCACTGACCATCAATAATTCCAATACCAGAAAATAAGTCACTGTATTCTTTCATGACTATTCCTCTGGTCAGAAATGTTTTATTCTTGTCAGGGAGGGAGTGTTCCACAGAAAATGTGAGCTTAATCAGGCCAAGGTTTAA